CGGGCGGTGCCGCCGGGCACGCCGCTCTCTGTGCTGGGGATGCTCTCTGTAACCTCCCCCCGGCCCCACTCCAGCCTCCGTGCGGGGCCGGCGATCTGGGCTTGTGGTTCAGCGCTCAGGAGCCCGGAGCTCTGACTTGCGCGTCCGAGTGCGCCCCGTAACCCGGAGTTCCCAGCTCCTGCCTTGGGGCCTGGAGTCTGACTGGAGGAGTACCCTGAACCCTGCTTCGGGCTCCGCACCCGCTCCACAGTTCTGAAGTGTACGCTGGTGGCTCGACTGTGGCCCTGGGGGGTCCACAGAGGTCCCCCCGAATCCTGAACCCCGCCTTGGGGATGTGTGTGGCTCAGTTCAGTTCAGTTTTTCAGTCGTGTCCGACTCTTTGAGACCCCATGAACCGCAGGACGCCAGGCCTCCCTGCCCATCACCAACTCCTGGAGTTCACCCAAACCCATGACCATTGAGTTGGCGGTGCCATCCAACCATCTTATTCTCTGTCTTCCCCTTCTCCTGCTGCCCTCAATCTTTCCCAGCATCAGGGTTTTTCAAATGAGTCAGCTCTTCGCATCAGGTGGCGAAAGTATTGGAGTTTCATCTTCAGCATCAGTCCTTCCAATGAACACCCAGGACTGATCTCCTCTAGGATGGACTGCTTGGATGTCCTTGCAGTCCAAGGGACTCTCAAGAGTCTTCTCCAACACCACAGTTCAAAAGCATTAATTCTTCGGCGCTTAGCTTTCTTTATAGTTCAACTCTAACATCCATACATGACTACTGGAAAAATCTTACCCATGACTAGACAGACCTTTGTTGACAAAGTTAATGTCTCTGCTTTTCAATATGTGGTCTAGGTTGGTCATAGCTTTTCTTCCAAGGAGCAAGGGTCTTTTAATTTCATGGCTGCAATCGCTGTCTGCAGTGATTTTGGAGCCCAGAAAAATAAAGTCAGCCACTGTTTCCCCATCTATTTGCCATGAAGTGATGGGACCAGATGCCATGATCTTAGTTTTCTGAATGTTGAGCTTTAAGCCAACTTTTTCACTCTCCTCTTTCACTTTCATCAAGAGGCTCTTTAGTTCTTCCTCACTTTCTGCCATAAGAGTGGTGTCATCTGTATATCTGAGGTTATTGCTATTTCTCCCGGCAATCTTGATTCCAGCCTGTGCTTTCTCTACATGATGTACTCTGCATATATTCTCATGATGTACTCTGCATATAAGTTAAATAAGTAGGGTGACAATATACAGCCTTGACATATTCCTTTTCCTATTTAAAACCAGTCTGTTGTTCCATGTTCAGTTTTAACTGTTGCTTCCTGACCTACATACACGTTTCTCAAGAGGCAGGTCAGGTGATCTGGTATTCCCATCTCTTTCAGAATTTTCCAGTTTATGGTGATCCACATAGTCAAAGGCTTTGGCATAGTCAATAAAGCAGAAATAGATGTTTTTCTGGAACTGTCTTGCTTTTTTGATGATCCAGTGGATATTGGCAATTTGATCTCCAGTTCCTCTGCCTTTTCTAAAACCAGCTTGAACATCTGGAAGTTCACGGTTCACATATTGCTGAAACCTGGCTTGGAGAATTTTGAGCAGTACTTTACTAGCGTGTGAGATGAGTGCAATTGTGTGGTAGTTTGAACATTCTTTGGCACTGCCTTTCTTTGGGATTGGAATGAAAACTGACCTTTTCATATTGACTGCAGCACTTTCACAACATCATCTTTCAGGAACTGAAATAGCTCAACTGGAATTCCATCACCTCCACTAGCTTTGTTCCTAGTGATGCTTCCTACGGCCCACTTGACTTTACATTCCAGGATATCTGCGTCTAGGTGAGTGATCACACCATCGTGATTATCTGGGTTGTGAAGATCTTTTTTGTACAGTTCTTCTATGTTCTTGCCACCTCTTCTTAATATCTTCTGCTTCTGTTAGGTCCTTACCATTTCTGTACTTTATTGAGCCCGTTTTTGCATGAAATGTTCCCTTGGTACCTCTAATTTTCTTGAAGAGATCTCTAATCTTTCCCATTCTATTGTTTTCCTCTTTCTTTGCATTGTTTGCTCAGGAAGGCTTTCTTATCTCTCCTTGCTATTCTTTGGAACTCTATACTCAAATGGGTATATCTTTCCTTTTCTCCTTTGCTTTTCACTTCCCTTCTTTTCACAGCTATTTGTAAGGTCTTCTCAGACAGCCATTTTGCTTTTTTGCGTTTTTCTTGGGGATGGTCTTGATTCCTGTCTCCTGTACAATGTCACAAACTTCCGTCCATAGTTTATCAGGCACTCAGTCTATCAGATCTTGTCTGTTAAATCTATTTCTCAGTTTCACTGCATAGTCATAAGGGATTTGATTTAGGTCATACCTGAATGGTCTAGTGGTTTTCTCCACTTTCTTCAATTTCAGTCTGAATTTGGCAGTAAAAAGTTCAAGATCTGAGCCACAGTCAGCTCCTGGTCTTGTTTTTGCTGACTGTATAGAGCTTCTCCATCTTTGGCTGCAAAGAATATAATCAATCTGATTTCTGTGTCGACCATCTGGTGATGTCCAAGTGTGGCTCACAGGCTCCAAATTTGGCCTTGAAGTGTCCTGACTCTGGGGAGTATGACGTCTGCCTGGGTAGCCCGAGTCTGGGACTGCACCCCCAGAGCCCAAGATTTTTCCTTGTGCGGGGGGTGTTACTGGGGTCCCCAGAGGTCCTGAACCCTGCTTTGGGGTCCCGTTCTACCCCCGGAGTGCCTCAAACCCTGCCGTGGGGGCTCCATTCTCTTCTTGGGGACCCCAGAGCCTGCCTTGGTGGGGGAGTGGGCTCTGAGTGCAGCCCTGGTGGGGGTCCCAAATCTGGCCTGAGAGGTCGAAGCTCATCTCCACCAGACCCGAACTTGACAGTGGGTGTCCAATGCTCAACCCCACCCACCCACCCTCGGAGGTCCCAGATGCCGCGTGGGCCTTCCCAATAGGGCCCCAGGGGTTCTGATGGACTGAGGGCTGGGTGGGATGGACAGCTACATGGAGGCGTGGGCCGCTATACAGGTAAACGGACAAAAATGTACACACAGGAATGGGTGCGCGGGTGGGCAGGCAGAAGGAAGGATGGGTGGGTGGACAGAGGTAGAAGGGGAGGTGTGGACAGGCATGGATAGATACAGATGATTGCACAGATGTATGGATGGACGCATGGACAGACAGGTGGGTGGGGCAGGCGTCTAGCAGAGCAGATGGGTAGGGGGAAGGAGGAAGGATGGGTGGATGGATCTGCAGCTGGAAGGCAGGCGGAGGTGGGCAGGCAGGGGTGTCTGCTGGTCACTGTCACCCGCTCCCTCCCCCCCGCCCCCCGAGGAAGAAGTCCCCGTCAGGAGACCGGCCGTGTCCACCTCCTGACACGAGGGAGACTTGGTTGTTCTTTCACACAGTCATTTTCCCAGATGGCCTTTTCAGTCTTCCTTTTGCAGCGGGTTGGGTGGGTTCTTATCTCTTCAATTTCTAACACCCAGGTCGACAGGTTCTCACCAGGTTTTCTTTCTCCACGGTCTCTGAGCTGGGTCTTCGTCTCCGCTGACCTCCGGCCTCTGCCTCTCCGCCGGATGAGTCGGGAGATGAGGTGGGTCCCTCGGGGGACTTGGCAGCCAAGGGGAACAACCAGCCTGTCTGTGCGGTCGGAGGATATGGTGGCCACACCCGTCTCCCAGGGACGCCCGGAGCCTTTCCCAGGGAGGCTGTGGAGCCCGCCCTCCGGACGGCGGGGCAGCTAGGCCCACGCGGCCCGGCGTGAGGGACCCCCACTCCAGCTCTCGCCGCCCCACCCGCTCTTGGAGCGCCCGTGTCTGGCAGGGGTGGTCCAGCTGCGGGGGGAGGGACCCTCTGCGAGGCCCGCTCGGTGACCAGACCTGAAACGACCTGCCCAAGACCTGGTGGGGGGCCGCTCCTCGGCCACCTCCCCTGGACACGTGGGAGCCCACCCTCCCCTGGAATCTCGGGCTGGTGCCGAAGCATGGAGCGGTGCTGGACCCGGGGGTGGGCAGAGCGGCGTGGAAGCCGGCTGTCCGGCCTCCCATGGCATGGTGTCTGCAGGGGAGGCCCGCACCCCGCCGTGCACAGGTCAGAAGTGACCTCAGGAGAGGCGGCCGCCCGGGGCCATGGAGGGGGGCCGCCATGACCAGAAAGCGGGCTGCACGGCTCTGGGGCCCTGGCCTGTGACCTGCGCACCCGTGCGGGGACAGCGGTGTTCAGAGAGCAGGTGCACGGCTCTGGGGGCCCCGTGGGGGGACTGCCATGGCCAGAGAGCGGGCTGCACGGCTCAGGACTCTGGGGCCCCAGCCTGTGACCCTCGCCCGGCGGCTCCACGTCCGGGGGGCCTGTGCGCCCCGTGGTCTCCCTATGGGGACCCCATGTATGCCGTGTCCGTCTGTGACCCGCGTTCAGGATACCCTGCTACTGTGTCTCGTTTGGTCTCGAAGTGAGAGCATCGGGCTGAAAATCCTTAAATTCTTTATTTCAAAATACAAACGTGATCTCATAAAACTCTTTAAACCGCTCTGCACAGCAAATTGAAGGTAACTTTACACATTTTGTACACGTACACAGAAACGCTGGGCCGCACTGACCTGGGTGCTCCCTCGGCCCTGGCCGGGGCAGGGACTGGGGCCGGGGCGGCCTCCCCACAGGGGCCCCATGGGACAGCGGGCGCAGGGGCTCCTGGAATGTTCCTGCCGACACAGCCGGCCCAGGGTCAGCGTTGGGACGGCCCGGGCAAACCCGCCACAGCGCCGCTGTGTTCCCACCGGGGTGAACCGTCCACGGACGGGGAGCCTCCAAGCCCCTGGACGGGGCAGCGGGCCAAGGCCGCCTGCCCGCTGGGGAGGCCGGCGGGGAGGCATCGCGGGGCGGAGTGCAGCCGCTTCTGTGCTGAATAAAGACGCACGCACCAGAGACAAACGCACTGCACTTGGCGAGGCCGCGTTTCCCACCCACGGGCCGCGGGGACCCCGAGCGGGCCTCAGGTCACGAGCGCGGCAGGTCGTCGTCCCCACCCTCGAACTCGTAGAGGTCGACGGCGCCCAGGCCGCCCGGCGCCTCCAGGAAGGGCCTCTGAGCCAGCGGGGACCTCAGGGCGCTGAGCTTCTGCTCCACGGGGCTGAGCTCGGCCTCGTACCTGCGGGGAGGGGCCGTGAGGACAGCGCCCGCCCCCCACGCCCGCTGAGCAGCCGTGTGCCTGCAACACGTGCAGACGGGACAGGCGGACCAGCTGCTCAGCTGCCCCCAGCCCCGGCCCCCCGTGTTGGGTCTGCCCCCTTCGGCGGCCTGCGGGTGCCATCCCCAGAGGGTAGATGGAGCCTTGGGAGGTGCCACGCAGGGGCCCTGGCGGGACCCTCCACGGGCTGGGGGAAGGCCTGACTCAGCAGAGTAAGGTCCCAGAGTCAGGGCGCTGAGGCTGGACACCCAGGGCAGGACCAGGCGGCAGTTTGGAGTCAGACGGTGCCCACCCTCGCTGGGGGGGGTGGGGCCGCAGTCCCTTGGACACCCTCCCCAGAAGCGGCAGCCAGACGTGGTGTCCTCACTGCCCCAGCTGGCAGTCCGGTTCCCTGGCCCCCGGCCCTGGCCCCCCGTCCTCCCGAGACCCACTTCTCCGCCACCTGCGCACTCACCCGTCCTCCCAGGGGTCCCCTGCGGCCTCCTCGGCCACCAGGATATCGTACTCCTCGGCGGCGAAGCGCTCCCAGTCAGACAACTCGGGGCCCTCGCTCTCGCTCTCCTGCGGACGATGGAGGGAGCACACTGTGGTGTCGTCTGGGAGCGGCCCGGCGCCCCCTCCCCCCACGTCCCCCTACGGCCCGCCCCATCACACCCCACTCACCCTGAGCAGGGACACCTGCTCTTTCTGCTCGTGGTCCAGGTACTTCTCGATGTTGAAGAAGGTGTCGAAGAACACGTTGGCCAACTTGCAGCGCTTCAGGTCTTGCAGCGTGATCCTCCCTGCGTGAGGGGCATGACCATGAACGCGCGGGTGGGGGTGCATGAAGGGGACTTAGGGGGACAGCTGTGAGCGCGCGGGTGGGGGTGCAGAGGGATCTTCGGGGGTGCGGCAATGAGCGCGCGGGTCACGGGCGTGGGGGGCGCGGGGCCTGAGTTCTCAGGGCAGCTTTGGGGGAAGCATGGAGGGGTCTCATGGGTGCGTGAGGCGGCTCACTGGCGCGCGGAGGAGGGCTCCTGGGCGCAGGGTGGGTCATGGGCGCGCGGGGATGTCGTGAGCACACGCGGGCGGCTCTGAGCACGCACGGCTCCCAGACACCCTGAGGAACCTAGTCCCCTCGCGCGTGCACAGCCACACGCCGTCAGGCACAGCGCCGTGCGCCCTGCCGCCAGCCCGGCCACAGGAGTGCGCCCGGGGTGGTGGGAGCCTGGCAGGTGGCTGGGGGACCAGGGCCCTGTGTGCCCCTGAGGGGGCGTCGGGGTCACAGGGGGCCCACACGCGTCACCTCGACGGTGGGGCCCGAGCTGCCCTGGACCGCGGACATGGATCAGGAGGAAACCCGGGCCGGGCAAAAGGGTGATCAGGACGAGTCCGCAGCAGACTACACCCGAGACTGGGGTCCCAGGACACAGGACACCCAGGCCTTCGACTTGGAGGCAGAGCCTTCCTGTGACATTGGCAGGCGTCCCGAGCGTCCCCTGGGATGCGCCCACCCAGCACCCCAGTTCCCAGATCAACCAAACCAAGCCCGGGGCCACGGCACCAGGCCTGAGAAAGGCAGTCCAGCGCAGGGGGCCCTCGCACCGCCCACACCGGGGTCCCGGTGGACAAGGACCGAGCATGGCAGAGGAAATGACTGGGATCGGGGGCCACCGTCCCCAGCCCGGGGCGCACAGCCCCCAGGACGGCCCATCACACGTGAGGGCTGAGGGCGGGGCCGCGAGGGCCGCGTCCACCCCAGGGGTCACACGTGAGGGCTGAGGGCGGGGCCGCGAGGGCCGCGTCCACCCCCAGTAACTGGAACTGGGTGGTCCTCGGTTACAGGAGACCACACTTGACCTGCCCTGGACGCTACCCTCTCTGAGGCCGGCACACAGCTCCCCTGGGGCTCCCTACCCCCCTGGGGTGTCCCCCTCCCCAGGCGCACCCCATCCCAGAGGGCATGCCCCCTGGGCTGTCCCTCTCCCTGGGGTGTTCCCCACCGCGGGGTGCCCCACCTCCCTGGGGAACCCCCACCAGGCTGAGCCCCACCCCCCGGGGGCAACCCTATTCCCCCAGGGCATCTCCAACCCCTGGGTGCCCCGCCCCCGTGGGTCCCCTCCCCCGTGGGTCCCCTCCCCCATGGGCCCCCGCCCCAGGGCCCCGCCCCGCACCGCACCTTCCCTCTGGGGCTTCACCAGGTCCAGCATCTGGCAGAGGCAGTCCTCGAAGGGCAGGGCCTCGATGGCCATGCTGTCCAGGCGCCGGCACTGCTCCTCGTAGAAGTACTCCAGCTCGAACATGGACAGCGCCCCGTCCCCGTCCAAGTCCATGCAGCGGAACCAGTACTCGATGCTGTGGCCGCAAGGGTCACACGTCCGCCGGGACGGCCGCCCGCCCAGACCCGCTCCGACCAGGGCGACCCCACCCGCAGGACCAGTGCTCGAGGCTGCGGCCGGGACGGCCGCCCGCACAGACCCGCTCCGACCAGGGCGACCCGCGCGTGTACAGACCCACCCCCAGGACCACTGCACCCATGTGAACCGCTCAGAGACGACCTCGCACGGACAGGCCTCAGGGGGCGCCCTCGCCACTGGGTGACCGCTGGGCTCCTCTTGCGAGGGTCCTGACAGCCTGAGCAGAGCACGGGCCCCGGACACCCACCTGGTGGGAGTCTTCTTGTCCTCCTCGGAGATCAGAAACCACACAAAGTCCGCGTAGCTGAGTTTTCCTTCCTTCTGCACTTTTTTCCCTCTGGATTCCGGTGCGGAATCGAGAGACAAAGGCAGTGTCAGGGAGAAGCCGCCTGAAGCTCGGGTCCCTGCTCACACCCACAGGTGATGGGGGCCCTGCAGGGGCCCAGTCCTGGCCTGGTTCCCACCTGGAGGGGCCTGAGAGAGGCTCTGTGGGCACAGGGGAGGTTCTCTCGGGGCAGAAGAACCTGCCCGGCTCAGAGCCACCTTGACCTGTCACACACAGAGCCTGTGCCCCCCTCACACATGGCGTCACATGGCAAGAGCATGCTATGTGTGCCCGTAACTTCTGATGTCACACGTGACGATCACATGTCCTTTACACATGCCCTCACATGACAAAGACGCGTGTCCTTTATGTATGACCTTACGTGAATGGCACACGTATGCCTCTTACTCGTGACTTCCTGTGACCATGGCGTATGTCCCCGTTATCTGTGACCTCATATGGCAAAACCCTATACACTTGCTCCTAAGTCATGACCTCAGGCGCCTCAGAATACGCCCGCCCCCGTCAGGAGTGACTGGCAGGGCCGGATGCTCCCGGGAAAACCAGCCCAGCCCTGCTGGGAGCCCGCTGGCACGCACCGCGTCACGGCTCCGGAGAAGATCCGGTCGATCATCTTGGTGGAAATAGCTGCAAAAGAGGAGTCGGGTTGTGAGCCCCGCGGGGGTCCTGGTGCCCGACGCGGCCGGGCGGGCTCCGGGCTGAACCTGGAGACCCAGGTCTGGCTGAGTGGGACCCTGGGGGCCTGAATTTCCTGCACACGCCTCTTCAGACACCACCTGGTGCTTTTCCCAGGCCTGAGTGTGTGCGTGCGTGCTGCTCAAGGGCTGCCAGGAGATCCAGCCAGTCCACCCTTAAGGAGGTCAGCCCTGAATGTGCAGTGAGGGGCTGATGCTGAAGCTGAAGCTCCAGTCCTTTGGCCACCTGATGCGAAGAGCTGACTCGTGGGAGAAGACCCTGATGCCGGGGAAGACTGAAGGCAGGAGAAGGGGACGACAGAGGATGCGATGGCTGGATGGCATCACGGACTCGACGGACATGAGTTTGGGTAAACTCCGAGAGTTGGTGATGGACACGGAGGCCTGGCGTGCTGCAGTCCACGGGGTCGCAAAGACTCGGACACGACTGAGCGGGTGAACACACCTGTGTCCTAAGTTGTTTCAGGCGTGTCCAACTCTTTGCAACCCCGTGGACTGTAGCCCACCAGGCTCCTCTGTCTATGGGATTCTGCAGGCAAGAACACTGGAGTGGGTCGCCATTTCCCTCTCCAGGGGATCTTCCCCACCCAGGAATTTAACCCGAGTCTCCTGCGCCTCCTGCATTGGCAGACGGGTTCTTAAGCCAGCTGAACCACTGGGGAAACCCACCCAGTCCCGGGACCTGAGCCTGAGTCCAAGCTGCAGAGGGAGGCGCTGGCCCGGGGGCTCCAGGAACGGGCGGGGTGTGGATGGCAGGACACATGTTCACACTGCACGGGCTCTGCCCCCAAACACACAACACACTTGTGATCAGAACCCAGATGTGCGTCAACCACATTCAAGGCAGAAACAGTGCAAGGCCGGGGCTGTGAGATGGATCACCACAAGGGCTGGCTTAAACGGCACATGGCGATCCTCGCCCCACACGGTCCTGGAGGCTGGCGTCGCAGCCCCAGGTGTGGGCGGGGCTGGCTCCTCCCGTGCGTGTGGGCGGCATCTCCCCGACTCCTCACGCGCTCATGTGGGTGTCTGTGTCCCGACCTCCTGTTATCAGGACCCCAGTCCTGTGGGATCAGGGCCAGCCTAGTGACCTCATTTCACCTTCATCCCCTGTTTAAAGACCGTGTCCAAACATGGCCACCTCCTGAAATCTCAAGGGTGACAACTCAAGTATATTAATCTTGGGGACACTTTTCAGCCCATACTTAGGTAACCACAAAAATGGGGAAATAAAGACAAAATGTCCTCTCCCCACAATTCATCCTGGCTCACTAAGGCTCCTCTGAGAGGAAACAACTGGATGGTATCAGAGGCTGAACGGGGTTTTCCAAAGAGATACATCCACATCCTGCCTCCTGGCGTGGGAAGTGGATCTTATGTGAAAACAGGGTCTCTGCAGATGTGATGGAGTGAAGGTCTGAGATGAGGTCCTCCTGGATGGGGGTGGCCTTAAACTCAGGGACAGGGTCCTTATAAGACACAGAAGAGGAGAGACAGGGAGACAGAGGAGAAGCCCTGTGGAGACGGAGGTGGAGACGGGAGGGAGGCGGCCACCAGCCCAGGGATGGAGGCGTGGAGCCCCCAGAAGCTGGAAGAGGCGGGAAGGAGCCTCCCCTGGAGACTCTGGCCGAAGCTCGGCCCTGGGACCCCTTGACCTCAGACGTCTGGTGCCCAGGACTGGGGAGGGTGGGTGGTCAGTCCCCAGGACTGGGGGAGGATAGGTGTCAAGCCCCCATTTGTGGGCCCGTTACAGTTGCCTCAGGTAACCCTCACGGCCCTCGTGGGTGTTGGGCCTTCATCAACAAGTTCATTTCGGATCTCCGGTGTCACAACTGGGAGGATAACTTCCTATTCTTTGAGGGTCCCCCCCCCACACACGAGAGCAGCTCCAGGGAACTAGAACAGACTAGACATGCTCCCACACCTGGCGACGTGACAGCAATAAAGCCACTCAACCGGTCAGCTACACCGCGGCCCGTTCCTCTCCATGAGGGAGGGCAAGCCCTACTGGGCCCGGGCAGAAACCCGCAGCTGATGCAGCTCATGGGCACACGGGGGCACTGTACTCGAAACCACCCCGTGTCCTATCCCGTCCAGCAAGACCACTGTCCCCAGGGCCACTAGTGTCCCAAGGACAGACGCAGCCACGAAGACCCCAGCAAGCGGCCCCAAGTGGTGACAGACCCCCAACAGCGGCTGACGGGCCGCCGGACGGGAGAAGCAGACAGGCGCACAGGAGGCCCCGGGGGTGTGGGAACCAGCCCTGGGCCAGGAGGTGGGGCGCCTCACGGCCGCATGAGCACATCCCGGCCACCAAGGCCTGCCCCGATCTCACGGCGGGGCTCAGAGTCAAGAACAACAGTCGAACTGAGAGGGACCCATGTAACAGGGACACTCAGGCGTCCACATGCCATGATCGCGGGGCCCCCGGGGGGACCAGCGTGAGGGATTCGGGGAGCAGGCGGCTGACCCGGGGGGCTGACCTCGGGGGCCCATCCAGGCCACACTGACCACAAACGAATGCCCAAATAATTCAGAAACACGCTCGTGGCTGCAATTACCTGAAAACCCATTACATCAAAACCTACAGTTTTAAAGAAATAGCTGACAAAACTAGAAATCTACCACAGGTAAATTTTAGCCCATTTTGTGTACCCTGAACATTTGATTTCTTATAAAGGGAGGTGCAGGGAACTCAAACCGGGGTTCTGTGAGAACCGAGAGGGGTGGGATGGGGAGGGAGGTTCAAGAGGCATGGGACATGTGTGTACCTACGGCTGACTCGTGTTGAGGTTTGGGAGAAACCAACACAGTTTTGTAAAGCAATAATCCTTCAATTAAAACATAAACTTTAAAAAAAAGCATTTACACTGGATTCCTCAGTGCTGCTCCCAAAACGTGGGGAGGCTGGGATTTACCTTTCCCAGCCTTTCTGTCATGAGGAGACACAAAGGCTCTTGGGTCAAACCCGGAGGTTGGAAGCGAAGCCTCCCTGGGAAACGTGTCTCTGCTGTTAACAGGCTGACTCCAGGGAGGATGGCCGACTCCGGGCCTGCCGCCGCCAGCCCACCTGCTGCGGCCATGCGGCCCTGAGCTGGGACTCGGTGTCCAGGTGGCGCCGTGCCCCCACCGGCAGGCACCAGAGGGCCTGGCAGCAGGCAGCACCAGGGACAGAGCAAGAGGGGGACGCAGCACCCCTGCACAAACAAGCGCCTCCCCGTGGGGACAGGCGCTGTGAGCTCTGTGCTGACCCACCGGCTGGCCCCCACTGAGCCATCAGGCGACCTGGCCTGAGATGCCGGCGGGGGTGGCCCCTCCTCAGGGACACACATGGGAACCGGGGATGGGAAGAGCTGGGGGAATGAGAGGGGCTCTGCGGGGAGCCGCCAAGTACTGGAGATCTCAGGGTCCACGCCCCTCGTGACGGCGCCCCTGACACCACGTGGCCGAGTCCCCTGTGTGTGTCCCCGTCTCCCGCGTCCCGCAGCAGTCCGGGTGCAGGCCCCGAGGGTGGGGGGTCAGGTGGCGTGGGGGCAGCGGCGGCTGCTCTCTGGAGACCAGGAGCCCGCGCCCGGCCCTAGCCCTGCCCCGGCCCCACCCCCTGCGGGTGCAGCGCTCACCATGGTCGTTGTGCCGGGCCAGGTCCTGTGCGTCGATGAGCAGGTCGTGGTCCGTGTCCAGCTCCCAGAACTTGCAGTAGATGACGTAGAAGTGCTCGTAGGAGAAGAACTCCGTCAGCTGGTTGATGTCTGCCTCCTCCTCCAGAAGAGCCACGTTCTGCAGGACAAACCAGAGAACTGCTAGCGGAGACTCCAGGGCCCGGAGTGCAAACAGGCCATCCAGTGGGGACGGGGCCCAGATCCTCATCGTGCAGAGGCAGGGTCAGAGAAGGGCAAGACCCCGTGAGGGCCGGGAGGGGAACAGATCAGAGGTGCACCCGCATCAGGCCAGGTCACAGACACGATGTGAGAAGGTGAGGGGCGGGGGAGGGAGAAGGAGGGGAGGAGGATGGAGGGACGGCTCTGGGTGGACAGACGACAGGATGGGAGATGACTGATGAGGGGCAGATGGGTGGGTGGGTGGGTGCGTGGATAGGTGGCTGACTGGATGGGTGGGTAGGTGGGCAGATGGGTGGGTGGTAGGTAAAGAGAAGAAGGTGGTTGGATGTGCAGAGGGTGTGCATGTCTAATTCTTTCTCAGAGACTTCTTGATGTGCTTATTATATCCAACATGTTTAAATTACTGGAGCTGCAACTTCTAGATTCATATTAAAGTATCCATATTATGAATATTTTCATGATAACCACCCTGTTAATTGGCTTAGTTTATGCTTGTTTGGCACTTAAAAGCATCAGTTCCTTTCCTTCTACGTTTAAGGTCAGCATCTGTGTCTGGACCCACAGAGCTGTTTGTCTCTGCTACCTGGAGTGCTGCTGGGTGGCCTGCAGTCACAGATGGGCTGTGACTCAAGGGTTAGGCTTCCTGATTGCACCCTGTTTCTGATGAGCAACGCTTTGTAAGGACGCGGGTTGAATTATAACAGCTGAGTAATCACTGACTTGATAGATGAGATACGACAAAGGACGACAGCAGCAGAGTCACTTGCTATCACTTCAACCCCAGACCCCCACCAGCTGGGCCTGTTTTGTTGGGGATGGTGGGGAGGGGAGGCAGACCGTAAGCCCACCCAGAGAAGAGCAGCCATGGTGAGGGGCTCCCCGGGGCACAGGGAGACACGCTGAGGGAGGGGAGGAAATGTTCTCGTGTTTGGGGGCCGCAGAGGACATGAGAAAGGGTGGTCTGCAGTGATCAGAGGCCGGGGGGCCCAGCCTTGCAGGGATAATTCCAAGACGCTCCCTGGGAGGGAGGGCTGGGCTGAGTGATGCTAGTTCTCATCGCTCCGGTTTTGAACTTGCTGGCATGTTCTGTTTGGTTGAGTCAGGAGCCACCCTGTCAGGATTTGGCAAAATCAGCCACATACAAACAAAGGAATTCTCTCTTGGAGCAAAACAGAAGGCACACGACAATCTGGTGGAAAATGAGTCTTGAAACTTAAAAAACATTTAAAATGTGTCTCAGCCACAACAGAAGAGAACTGAAGCTCCACAGAGATTCCAGGACACGGGAGGGGATGAGACACGACCCTCTGACTCATCGGGTCCCAGGCAGATTGGCTGTCAGAGCTCACTTCTCTGGGGTTTTGAGCTGATGGTGCAGCCACCCACATCAAATGTGGACTCAGTCTGGACATCATCCCCTTTTCTGTGGCCAGCGGAGCCCCAAGCAAGTCAGATCTGGGCCATAGACATGCAGACCAAATGATGTTTCTTTACAGGCTGACAAACAAGCTTTTAAAAGTTTGAATGTTTACTTTTTCAGTCCTGTTTCTGCTTCTATATCTTAAGTCTGAGTATTCTTCCTTTCCCTCCGTCCTCCCCCACTCCTGCCTTAGGTCCATGGGGGTGTATCTCCTCTCCAGCTGCATCACAGATGTGACCCCTGAGCTGGTCACGTGTTGGATGAAGCGCTGTGGTCTCATCATGCCCAACCCTAGCAGGCAGGGGACATCACTGGCATTGATGATACACCCGGGGACCTGGGTTCAGCTATGAGTCCACAGCCGGATGCCTCTGTTGACACAGGGCTCCTTAGAAACAACACTGGATGGATGCTGGGCCTTTCTCGTCATGCCTTTTTTAGCTCTCAGATAAGAAGGCGCACTTTCCAGAGAAATGTTGGGAAGATGTGGGGAAGAATTAAAAGGGGAGAAACCACCAAATGTATTGCAAACAGAATGCATTTTACAGCGAACACCTGTCCGGACCCACTAAGAACTGCCAGTCACGTCTCGCCAGATGCCTGTCTCCACTTCTCCAGCCTTCTGTCCTCCGTCCATCCTAAGTCAAGGCCTATTCCCAGCGTTTCTCCTTCTAGAGCAGAGTTTATACACAGTGACTGCGTGACCACTCAGGGAGCTTCGACACATGCCATCCCCGAACACTGTGGGGCGGCTCCTGCAGAGCCGAAGTTCCTGGGGTCCCTGCAGGTCCCCTGCTGTTTCCCTGATGCAGTCGTGGGCCCGACGTGTCTCCACCAAAGGCTGGCCTGCCCGTGGCCTCACAGGACGCGTGCCAGGCTCACCTGTCGAGACTCAACTGTGCGGTGGGGACAGGAGGGACCCCTGCGAACACTGAGAGGGGTTCTCCACCCCTCCTGCCTGCGGGTTCCTCTGCGGCAGGATGTCTGGCTGCTGCGCGTCTGCTTTGCCCATTCTCTTCCTGAAAACGTATGTTTCCGTTGCCCCCGTGGGTCTGGGCTGTAGGGGCGGCACCTGCTTACTTTTATGGAGCTGCTGGGTGTTCCCTGCTGGCTTGTCTTCGATGTTCTGGGTGCACAGCGCCCTCTCCCCACCGGCGCTGTCAGCTGCGTAGATTCTGCCTTTCTTCCTGTTGTGTGGCATTTACACTCGACTCCCTGTGGCTGGTCTGCTGAGAGTTTTTTCATGTGCTTATTTCCCAGCACTTGGCTTGGTGTCTGTTCAAGTGTTTCCACTGTTATTTTAGTGAGTGATTTGTATTACTGAATTTTTTATGTTATTTATTCTAGGTGTCAGTCCTTTGTCAAATATGTTTTTGAGAATTATATATATCTGCAGTCAGAGCAGTGATTTGATGAGCAAAGATTTTAATTTTGATAAAATCTAATTGTTAAAGCTATGATTTTTCCAGTAGTCATGTATGGATCTGAAAGTTGGACCATAAAGAAAGCTGAGCGCTGAAGAATTGATGCTTTTGAACTGTGGTGTTGAAGACTCTTAGGAATCCCTTGAACATCAAGGAGATCAAACCAGTCCATCCTAAAGGAAATCAGTCCTGAATATTCATTGGAAGGACTGATGCTGAAGCTGAAGCTCCAATACTCTGTCCACCTGATGTGAAGAACTGACTCATTGGAAAAGACCCTGATGCTGGGAATGATTGAAGTCAGGAGGAGAAGGGGATGACAGAGGATGAGTTGGTTGGATGGCATTACCAAATCAATGGACATGAGTTTGACTAAGCTCCGGGAGTTGGTGATGGACAGGGAAGCCTGGTGTGCTGCAGTCCATGGGGTTGCAAAGAAGCAAACATGACTGACTGAACTGAACTAAACTAATAGAAGTAACGTGAGTGTGTTCCTAATGCACATTTAAACGGTTCATGTGTTCTTCCGGGATTGCTGTACGTGTCACATGAAGTGTGGCAACTGTGCCCCCTGCTGTGCAAGCCCACCACACTACCTGCTCTTTTGGTACAGGTGTTGCAGGCAGGACATTGACAAGAACTCTAAGATGCAGTAGCTTTTTCTCTGAGCATCACATAAGGTTGATATTTTCCTGCAAAACCAGGGGCTGCATCTCAATGTCCTGAACCCACACAGTGCAGCCTTTTGCTTTGTCACCACAACAAGGTCAGCCAGAGGGGAAGAATGCTGTGATGCAGAGTCTTCGGCAGCCTGGAAATTCCTGGAGGTGGTGCTGTCTGGGCACCAATTATCTGGTGTGGCTCCTGGCCCCACCATGGGGGAATCCAGCTAAACTGACAGGTCCCTGACCTCTAGACAGCCAAATGTCTCCTCGAAGTGTTCTGGGCATCCCTGTAACAGCATCCCGCTGGGCCACTCACAGGCCATAAAATGTGAGAGTGGTTGGCTATACCTGTCTGCTTCCTGGTAGCAGGCAGCGTAATGATGACTGTTGAATGGTTTTCAGTTTATGTTAACAAACAGCCTCAGCCAACCCACTGAAAGAATAGTGCCATCTGCATCTGGGAGCCCTTTGCTTTAATGTAATGAGGTTCCATCCCCGCCCCTTTCAGCTTCCAAGCAAAGCAGTGGTTCAGCTGTTAAAAGTCTGATACTTTAATTGGAGTTTTGATTAGAAATTTCAGGGTATGGAATTATTACATGGCACCAGGTTTCTATAGGAATGATGGCTTCACATATGAATCATATAAAATCCTCATAGTTTCACTGGAGAGCTTTATTGATGCCTAGTATGGGGGTCTTGAGGGTTTGTCCAAGACTGAGGAACAAAGTATGGATGTGAGAGTTGGACTGTGAAGAAAGCTGAGTGCCAAAANTTCTTTACCAGCTGAGCCACCAGGGAAGCCCAAATAGGCATGAGAGTGACCAAAACCGAAAATATCACCTCCAGTGGTGTTTCTCCTAAAAGCACTGAAGTGGACCAATCAGCGTTGCTAGATAGGAAGATGGGTAAGTGAAGGTCAAGGACATTGGCATCAAGAAGGACCTGGGAGAGGTGCGCGTGCAGGGCTGGCTCGTTATGTGGTTAAAGGTGCGTCACACCCGACAGGCCCAGCCAGGCAGACTCATCCTGGCCTCTGCCTCTCGCGTCAGGACACTTCCTTCCTAACAGCCCCTGGGTGTTGGCACTGCTGTGACCTACGTGAAATCGATGCTCCGAGTGTGGGTTAAAAAGTGGTCACTGTAGGTTGGTGGTGCTGTTTCCCGAATTAAGCTGCTGACTGACCGGAGGGTCACAGAGGAGGCGTCCATCAGCGGAGAGAAGGCCCACTCCATCCGCTTTGTGAGAAGTTGAAGAGCAGCCTCGGAACAATCTTTAACGCAGACTCTGTAGACACCAGGGTTGGGGGCACCCGAAGGGCCTCCTAGCCTCAACCCAGGGCCCACCTGCCACCCTCCTTCCTGTGGCTGCCCCCCTGCCCCTGCCCCACCACGCCTTCCTCTAATCCGGCCGCCCTCACCTGTCCTTTCATGATGGACCCTCCCACCTGCTGAGACCCCGGGGCCGGGCCTTCACCCTGCACGGCTCTGGGCCCGGGGATGTTGGGGGCTGTCCCCGCGGA